TGGTAGTCTGGGCTGGCATCCATGGTCTTTTAGTGTAGGTAGAATATCTATCCAGGACCCTCTGGCCTTCAGAAAATAAGGTGTGATTCTGATAGGTTTGCCTTTATAGGTTACTTGACCTTTTTCCTTTGGTGCTCTTAATATTTTCTCTTTGTTGTGTATGTTTGGTGTTTTGATTATTATGTGGAAAGGTAACTTTTTTTTGGTTCAGTCTATTTGGTGTTCTGTAGGCTTCTTGTATTTTCATTGGTATGTCTTTCTTTAGGTTGGGATAGTTTTCTTCTATGATTTTGTTGAATATGTTTTCTGTGCCTTTGAGTTGGATTTCTTCACCTACTTCTATATTCTTCTATTATTCTTAAGTTTGATCTTTTCATGGTATCCTATATTTCCTAGGTTATTTTGTGATAGGGATTTGTTGGACTTAAGATTTTCTTTGGTTGATGAATCTATTTCTGCTAGTGTGTCTTCAACTTCTGAGATTCTTCCATCTCTTGTATTCTGTTGGTTATGCTTACATCTGTAGTTCCTGATTGTTTACCCAGCTTTTCTATTTCCAACATTCCCTCAGATTGTGCTTTCTTTATTGTCTCTATTTCAGTTTTAAGGTCTTGAACTGTTTCCTTGAGAGATTTGTTGATATCTTGTATTTTTTGGTTTGTTTTTTTCTTCCATTTCTTTTAGGGATTTTCTCATGTCCTTTTGAGGTCCTCTATCATTTTTCTGAAGATGTTTTTAAGGTCATTCTCTTCTGGCTCATCTGCATTGTGATGTTCAGATCTTGCTGGTTTATGGTTCCTGTCTCCAGTGATGTCATATTGGGTTTTCTGTTGTTGAAAGTGCTTTTACCTTGTCCTCTTCTCATCCTTTCTTCTGGTGGGTGTAGCAGGAGTTTCTTGCTCTCCTGGTGGGTATGGGACCAAGGTTCTCTTCTGGTAGATGCAAACAGATCCAATAATCTGATGTCTGTCCTCTTCTCGTGAATGGAGATGCCACTGTTACTGGGGCATCGGCAGTGTTCGGGTGTGTTGGGTCCCACTGGGCCGGTAGATGGAGACAGAACTGCCACCGGGGTCCCAATGTGTCGGATCCTGCCGCCAAATTCGGCCCAGCGCTCAGATGGCTAGTATCAGATGACTCTGGACAGTGACGATGACGAACGGGCCAACCAAGTACTTTTATGTGTTCAGTTTTATATAAAGTTGTGTTTTAATGGAGGGTTATATTGTTATGAAAATGTGAAAATCAGGACCTCTGTGATAAAGGTGCTTGTTACATAATCCTGAAAGCTAAGGACCCATATTTAAGGTAGAAGGAGAGAAGTGACTTATGAAATGTCGTCCTCTGACCTCTGCACACACATCACAGTACATGCAATTCTACATCCACACACAAATGCCCATGTATACACACAATAAAGAAAAACAAAACTTCTGGGTGTTGGTGGCACACACCTTTAATCCCAGCACTTGGGAGGCAGAGGCAGGTGAATCTCTGTGAGTTTGAGGCCAGCCTGGTCTACAGAGCAAGTTCCAGAACAACCAGAGTTACACAAAGAAACCCTATTTCAACAAAACAATATAGAAATCATTGAAGAACATACATATTATACACCCATTTGAAACAGCACTTCCTGTTAAAGGCCTTTCCTATTCAATATTACAATTCTGAAGTATAGAAATTAACCCCCAGTGCTCAAATATTATGTTGCCTGATTATCATTGAAGAACCCCAAATGATAATCCAAGTTTGGGTGATTTGTTTAGACTTTCAGTGTTTTTAGTCATAGGATTGCAGCTGAAGCTCGATATACGGAATGAGCTCTTCTAGCTGCTGTCACCAAATCTATCACTCCACTCCACAGAACAATGAAGTCAAACATGCCAAGTAGCTCCAACTGAGTCCTGAATCAGGCTTGGATTTCATCAGAATTCTACATACTAACTCTATTGTCATTATTTCAGGTTACAGTAATCATCACACAAATTTATTTTAATCATTTTAAGACTTCAATAGCAATACAATTACACAACTTTTATAGTAAATTATTATTCAGAGGACATTAAAATTCACCTTATTAGGCAACAGTACCTAAAGATAATTTTAGATAGTTAACTTTATTTCACATCTAGCAGAATAACATGTATACTGTAAAGTTTTCTGAAATTAATGATTCCATAAGACAATGCTTCACTTGAATAATTGTATCAGATATTTTATAACAATATTTTATTTTGTAATATTTGGTTTCTGCTTGCTAAAAACATAGGTGGGTTAAATTTTTAGTTTTAGACATTTTAGTAACATATAATTCTGAGGTTTCCAGAACAGAAAGTTCTCATTTCTAATTCTACTACTATAAACTTAAGAATATGTTTTATTTTCTGCAATGTAAGCATTACAATTGTTATTTTTCTTCAATTAGTATCGAATACTAAAATTGGAGTATTCAAGTTTAGAGATGGGTTTTTCATTAGAAAAGTCTGTCCGGTCGATTCGAGAACTAGGACTCCCAACCTTGCTTAGCCAGGCCTTCCTACAAAACAGAAACAAATAGAAATGAGCATGTATAGTACACACAGATTTACTAAAAGATCCCATTAGAGGTAATAAAGGGAGTTCACATTTGCAGTGCAACTTTTGCATATAATGTCACAATGAAGGATGTTATTCTATATACCAAAATTAATTAAAATAATTGTTTACATTGTACATGCTGTTCTAAGAATACTACCAACTATAATTTATAGTTACACATGGACATAGAAAGAGTAATAATTTAAGGAATTTACTTCCTATTAAGATCATTCTCCCTGCCCCAAAAGAAACACTTCAAGGCCATTATTTCCTAGCTCTTTTAAGTTTCAAAATATTTTTACAAAGTGGCTAGTAGTAAAAGCAATTAACCATTCTTTTCATTATGGAGTATATGGTAGGTTTATATGCTTAAGTGTGCACATGTGCACCTGTGTGTGTGTGTGTGTGTGTATTCATGTTATATATAGAGAGAACATTACTGCAAAAGAATAGACATGATTTCCTCAAAACATTAAATAAAACTAGATGACCCATTTTCCTGTTAAATACAGTTCTTACCATATACATTAGCAAAATTATCGCATTGCATGAAACACTCTAATTGTTCTGAAAACATATTTCTGCTTATTCAGAGCAGTGATTATCTTAACTCATTAGCAATGTATATGACTTAATTTATGCATTTGAGATTTAACCGAGATTTCACTTAACTCTACATCTACAGTTCAGACCTTTCTCATATACCATGGAGACCTCAGATAACAGTTAAGGATTTTCCAGAATCTTCTATTGGTTGGAATAACTGATTCAGTGGTTGTGACGGTCAATATTATGAACTTGACAGAATCTGGAAGACACAAGCTTCTGGGCATGTCTGAGTTATTATCTAAATTATGCTCAGGTAGGAATGTGGATGACATAATCCCATGGACTAGAGCCTCAGAATACATAAAAAGGAGAAAGCTAGCTGAGCACAAGAATTCATTTGCTGCTTCTTGACTGCTGATGTAGAGTCATATGCTGCTTCAACTTCCTGCCATCAGATCTTCTCCACCATGACAGACTGTACCCCCAAACTCTGAGCCAAAATGAACCCTTAAAGTCGCTTTTGTCATAGCAATGAGAAAATTGACGAATGCCATGATCCTGTATAGTGATGTGTGTGTGTGTGTGTGTGTGTGTGTGTGTGTGTGTGTGTACATGTGTGCATGTGTGGAGGCTAGAGAACAGCTGAGTATTGTTCCTTAGGTGCCATACACTGTTTTTTTTTTTTTTTTTTTTTTGAGACAAGATCTGTAAGAGGCCTGGAACTTGCCAGTGAACCCCGTTTCTGTCTTTCCACTCTAGCACTGGGGTTACTAGCATGAACACCACGATCAGCATTTTCATCACATGGTTTCTAGGGATCAAACTCAGGTACCCATGCCTGCAGGCAAGCACTTTACCAAGTGAGACTTGCTCCCATACAATGATGAGGCTGTTGTTTACAAGTGATGGTGTGAGCCCAGCTGTTATAGAGGAAACAGTCCCTGGCATCCCTGAAATGACCTCTTGCTGTGAAACCACCCCTGTATTCTGCTGCACAGCATAATCTTATACTGGATGAAAGCTTGGATTTTTTTACTATTTTCTGGGTAAAACTGATTGTCTGAAAATGACTCTTAACCAGGGAAAAGAATTCTAAGGACTTAAATGGCCAGTATGCTTTGAGCTCTACCTACTTGTCTCTTACTTGAGACTTTTGCTGGGTGAGGTTAATTTTGCACGCCCCTCCCCCCCAGCTAAATCATCAATAGTTACAGACTTCATTTCTTTTACTTATCTAATTAAAATCTTAAAAAATGGAAATTTCATTTTCTTAGTTACTTTTCTATTGCTGTGATTAAACACCATGGTCAAGGCAACTAACTTATAAAAAAAAAGCATTTTAATCTGGAGCTCACTCTTCTAGAGGGGTGGTGTTCACGACTATCGTGGTGGGAAGTATAGCGGCAGGCAGGCAGGCAGGCAAGGTGCAGGAGCAGTAGCTGAGAGCTTACATCTGATCCACAAGCGTGAGGCAGAGAGAGCTAACTGGGGACGTTAGAGCCTTTGAAACCTCAAAGCCCACCCCCAGTGACACACTTCCTCCAACAAAACCACGCCTAATCTTTTCCAATCAGTTCCACCAACTAGGGACCAAGAATTCAAATATATGAGCATATAGGGGCCATTCTCATTGAAGCCATCACACACTTGTTGAATAAAATTCAATTTTCATGACAAACAGCTGATGACTTCTATTTTACCTGTCAAATCTTCAAACCCTGGTGGAAACAAAGGCCAAAATTGTAACCAAAATTAACATTTAATGAGCACTAACTCTCTGCTAAGTTCTTTATATGTACTTTTTCTTTGTTCTACATTTGAGCCTTGTAGCTCACAATCTACTACTGTTTCCAAGGAGGTAGAAAGCAAGAGAACTCAGTAAACTGCTCCATGTGGTAGCAGCAGAGGAGAAATGGCCAGGCTCTGAATGCTTCTAGAGGATTGTGAGTAGATTTGCTCACTAATTGTGTGTAGGTGTGAGAAAATGAAAGGGGTAGGGATGACAGCTGGTAATTTTTTTAGAGTAACTAGCTGGATAGAGTTGTTACTGACAAAGAGATGTAGGGAGAGGGGAAGATTTGGGAGCAAGATGAGAAATTTAGTTTTGGGTTGCCAAGCTTGAGATGCTACTAGCCATCCAGGTGAGATGTTGAGTAGGTGGTGGGATCTACAAGTCTAGCTAGAGGAAACAAAATTCAGAGTCATTTATCAGACAGACCAGTATTGAACACTGTCAGACTGTTCGGGATCATCATGGAAATGAAGATAGAAAGAATCGGCATTCTGTGACTGCATCTTGAGGTACACTAATGTGAAGAGTTCAAAAAGGTGAAGAAAAATCGGAACAGAGAGCCATTCATTGAGCTCTCCAGAAAACTAGGAGAGTGTGGTACCCTGAAAGCCCATACATTCTGCAGGGAACAAAAGGGAGTCCACCACACCTGCTGGTGGTCAGGGGAAGAAAGAACTTAGGAGTGATCATTACACCTACAACGGTAAGGTCATGATGATCTTAAGAGAAGTTTCTGTGTAATGAAAACCACATCTGGGTAGGTTCAAGGGGTTTGTCGCTGGAGAAGACTGATTCAACTGCCATCAATTGCCCATTGCTGCTTATTTAGGGGCGGGGCCTTGAGAGATTTACCTCATTCATGTTAGCGTGTCAACTAGTGTACTGCAGGCCTTGTTTAGGTGGAAATATTATTGAGGTTTAATGAGTATAGATCCCTGTCATACATAGAGGACACTCTGGCCTTACAATCTTTACCTCCCTTCTTCCGAGATCTTCTCTGGACCTGAGTTGCATTTGGACATCTCAGCTGGGGATGGGTACCCTGGGTCAGTGGTTTTCTGCATTTTGAACACTTGTGTGGATCTCTGTAATGATCTCCATCAGCTATAAGAAGCTTTTTTGATGAGGGGAGAGCTCTGTTATCTGTGGGTGTGAGGATTTAGAGTACAGTAGCTCTAAAGCCAGGACCCTTCAGGGTTGTCCAGTGTAAGGTGAAAGGGCTGTGGTTTTACTGCTCCTGTACCAACTAGACAAACAATGCTGTGCAGAGAAGGGATGTAGCCTTCACTTAGGAGACTGCTTTCTTGAGGTCATTCCTAAGAGGGTGATGACAAAGACCAATCTTCCAGCAGCACGCCCAGAACCTGCAGGGAAATATAATTGGCACTTTGCAGCCTCTATGCATGCCCTCAGCTCAGGGGGATGATTGGGCAGGAAGGACAAAGGGATGGTAACTGGTGGGGCAAGACCCAGGGAAAGCTGGATAAAACAGGATAGGCATACCCATTTGGTTTAATTTTTGTTTTATACTTATTTATTTGTACACACACACACACACACACACACACACACACACACAGTAGCATCTGTGCTAGTGGAGGTCAGAGCAGAACCTCTAGGAATCAGTTCTTTCTTTTCACCATGTAGGTCCTGGGGACCAAACTCCATTACCAGGCATAGATAGCATCAAGCACCTGTACCCATTAAGCCATCTTGGCAGCCCACATTTTGTTGTTTGTTTGTTTTATTTTTTTGAGACAGGGTTTCTCTGTGGCTTTGGAGGCTGTCCTGGAACTAGCTCTTGTAGAACAGGCTGGTCTCGAACTCACAGAGATCTGCCTGCCTCCCGAGTGCTGGGATTAAAGGCGTGCACCACCAATTCCTAGCCTGGCAGCCCACTTTTTAGAAGATAAAGAAGATACAGCTTCTCTTTCCAGAAGGGGATTCAATATGTTTTTCTTTTTAATTGAAGAGCAGTTTGGATGTAAAGATACATTTGCATGAAATAGCCTTCACATTTACAGCAATGCAGGAGTTAATTTCATTCACTGCACATTGATAGATACACAACAAGCCCTGGGAGGCCTTAACACAGCATTGCACTTCCTTGGATGCTGGTCCTGCTAAGTTGGTCAAAGCCAGTGAAACCAGGGGTCAATGTGTGGGCCAATAATTTCTCAACAGCAACAACCCATGTGAGGGGAGATTTAAATTTCTTAACAGATATTTTTATATGGGACTCCCACCTCCCCAACCTAAAATGGATTTGTCTACTGGCTTGTCCCTGAATTCTGCATCTGTGTTGATTAGGATGAGCCAAATAACCTGTTTCCCTGGCAAGTGTCTGATGCTGGTCTTCTGAACACCTTTTCTCTTGGATCTATTATATTCTCCAGGAAAAACACACCCAGTATTCCTGCCCCCAGGATGCAGACCTGGACATACCTGTCCTGGGAGTCTGTGAAGAAGGGTCCTCGTGCTGGCTGGTTTTATGCCAACTTGACACAAGTCATTTTGGCAAGAAAGAACCTCTAAAGACTAGTGAAGAAAACACCTCCACCAGACTGCCCTGTAGGCAAGGCTATGATGGCTCATTTTTTGACTGGTGATGGATGTGA